CAAGTTACTGTGGGCTTACGTGAGGCAGAGCTCGTCCCTGCCTAACTTCTCATCGCTCCCGTAGCGGATCTCGGCAAATTTGCTGATTTTCACTATAAAAAGCGATTGGAATCATACAGAAATCACATTTACACAAGATCAGTGAGGTTCTGCCTCCCCTGCCTCCACTGACTGCACCTAACACATTTAGCTATGGCACTGTCGTATACATTGAATTATTCAATTTGTTGATATGTAATCAACTTAGGCATCCCTCCCAAAAAATTTTTAAAAAATTAATAAAAATATTCATAACTCATATTCGAATGCCTGAATAATTATTCCAATACCTGAATAATTTCGAATATTCGATTAATCGTTCCCATCCCTAGTACATATGCCAGGCCAGTAGATGGTGCTGTTCTCACAGAATCTGCCCTTGCAAAAACAGAGCTAGAAATGGTCAAATTGAGCAAAATGAGGCATGGCTAAAATGCATGATCTGTTTGGTATTTTGAAAATAAAGAAGTATAAATATGCCTTATATAGGTATGGTCCTACACTATATTATTCAAATATAGCATGAAAGGTCCACTTTAAGTTATAAGTTAGCAAAATATAGCTAAATTAGGCTTGATACATGATTTCATTTATCTTGTTGGCAGCTCATCCCTTAAAAACAGAAGTCTCAGAGTGATTATAATAACATGAAATATGAAGGGTCTATTTCAAGCTTGTTATGTAAATAAGTTATTAGGCTTTTTTTCATCAACTAAGATTTGATAGAACATTTTATCAACATGAATTGACTGAATTTGTTTTAAAAGTGAGCTTATTAACACATGAATACTAGTGTGTAATATGGTTGTACATATATATTTAAGAAGTACAATATGAGAAAAGCACGTTTCATTTGTGGGCCATATTTCATTATACTTTTTGAATTAGCTGAGGGCCGGCCCCCGGGCCGTAGTTTGGACACCCCTGGTTTAAAGTGTTAATTAAGAGTAAAGGGAACAGACCTGCTCTGTGTATCCGAAGCTGAGGCTGTAAAACAGCGTCCAGTAGTTTCTGGAGTCTCTTGTTCTCCTCTTTTGAACGAGACAGCTCCTCCTCGAGCTCTGCAATCGTTTTTTCAAACAGAGCAAATATCTCTTCAGCAGTGAGTCGCTGCTTCTTGAACGACAGCAGCATTTGGACTTTACTCATGTTTCCTAGATCACCTTTTCCTGCAAACTCCGTTAAACACACTGTTTCTTTCTCTCCATCAAACTCTCAATCTGACTAGTGTTGCCAACGTGTTTCCAGCTAGCATGCTAAGCTAGCTCCTATAGTCCGAGCTAAACACTCCAGAAAAAGGAGCACACAGTCCATTCGGAGGTTTATCCAAACACACAGATGATGGATCAGTAGTGCTGGAGCTCACAAACGCTTTCTCAGGAACACAGAGAGAGAGAACCGTAGCGACGAGACGCCACCTGGACCCAGTGTGACTACCCGATCTGAATCCCTGCCCGATTTGCAATGCGCATGTGCGAGATGGTCCGCCATATTTCAAATTGACACCGGAAAACAAAAAATATTAGTGTCATCTGCAAATAAAATAAATTTCAATATATTTGATACTCTGCAAATGTCGTTGATGTATATTATGAACAGCAGTTTGGACCCAACACGGACCCCTGAGGTACTCCACAAGTTATGTTCATGTTTTCTGATTTATGTTCACCAATTTCAACAAATTGTTGTCTGTTGCTTAAATAATCTCTCACCCAGTCTAATCCCACCCCGCTGATGCCATACCGTTCCAGTTTTGTCAGTAAAATATTGTGATCTATGGTGTCAAATGCTTTTTGTAAGTCTATAAATATTCCCACTGCTTCTTTTTTATTGTCCATGCAGTTTGCTATTTCCTCACTTAATTCCATTAGTGCCATAGATGTTGATCTATCTTTCCTGAATCCATATTGACTGTCATCCAAAAGCTGATGTGTTTCCATGAAATTGTCAAGTCTTTTTGTAAAAAGCTTTTCAAGGATCTTGGAAAACTGAGAGAGCAATGAAACAGGTCTGTAATTTGTGTAATGGTGTTTATCCCCAGTTTTATATAATGGTATAACTTTTGCTATTTTCATTTTATTTGGGAATTTACCAGATTGAAAAGACAAGTTAAAGAGATGAGTCAATGGTTCTGCAATTTCTTCAATAATGTCTTTTACTATAATCATATCAATATTATTCCAATCGGTCGAGGATTTGCTTTTACATTTTCGCACAGTATCTATGATTTATTTTTCTTCGACTGGTGTGAGGAAAAAAGAGCTATTATTTTAATTCCAGAGGTCCGTATCTTCCCCTTTAGTTGTTTCTACGGTTTTAATTTTTTCTGCCAGATCTGGCCCCACATTTACAAAGAATTCATTAAAACCATTAACCACATCATCTGTATTATTAATAACATTATTTTTGTCCACAAAAAACTCAGGGTAACCTGAACTTTTTGCTCCATTTCTAATGACACTATTTAATACTTTCCATAAACCTTTCATATTATTCTTATTATTCTCTAATATTTCATTATAGTATTCTTTTTTACATATCCGTAGAATATGGGTTAATTTATTCTTATATCTTTTATATTTATTTTCTGCTTCTGAAGTTCTATCTTTTATGAATTGTCTATATAGTGTATTTTTCTTTTTGCAGGCATTTTTTAGGCCATTAGTGATCCATGCACTGTGAGTTTGTTTGTGTCTCTCTCTGCATTGCTTCACAGGACAGTTTTTGTCATAAAGTGATTTAAAAATGTTTAGAAAATCATCATAGGCCTTGTCAATATCGTCTCTCTCATATACTACCCTCCAATTCTGATTTAGTAAGTCATTTTTAAATGCAATTATGTTATCTTCAGTTCTCAATCTTTTGTATTTGAAATGGCTGGCGACTTTAGGTTTCTTAGAACTGCAGTGATAGACAATAAAAACAGGTAAATGATCACTGATGTCACTATATAATAGTCCGCCTACTGTATTGTTTTCCATAATGTTTGTGAATATGTTGTCTATTAATGTAGCAGAATGAGAAGTGATTCTACTAGGTCTGGTAATTTTAGGATACAAACCCATACTGTACAATGTATTGATGAAGTGTTCTGTCATTTTATGCTTATTTGGATTCAACAGGTCAATATTGTAATCCCCACAGATAAACATAATTTTTTGTAATGATTTAGTAAACATGTTTTCTACCCTATCTGTAAATGTGTCAATACAGGTTCCAGGAGCTCTGTATATACAACTCACAATAACATTTTTAGACTTTTCCATACAAATTTCTACTGTAACACATTCAAACAAATCGTCAACAGCTGTTGTCATGCTCTCCGCCACCTTATAGTTCATTCCTTTATCCACATAGATTGCCACACCCCCTCCACTCTTATTCCTTCTGTTTGTATAATTCAGTTCGTAGCCATCCATCTCAAAGTCCACACCTTTCTCAGCACTGATCCTGAGGCCTGTACTACGAAGCTGGATTTTCGCTTAGCCGGCTAAATTCAGGGAAATCTCGGGCTTTCCGGTCCTACGACGCTGGTTCTCTTTTTAGCAGGCTAGATTTCCATGGTAACTTATGCTGAGCGGCAAACCTGCTCCGGAGCAGGTTAGGTGGCAGGCTAAGAGATCAACTCAGTGAAAGCACCGCCTGCTGACCAATCAGAGCTCCGTGTGCGGAGTTTAAAGCGATCAATTCATATTACAGGATAGAGGAAATACAGAAAAACTGCCGTTGCAGGAAAGACGGCCGTGAAAATTAATAGAATATCCCCTCCCATCTTCAGAGCAATCTGACTATTATAATATTAGCGTTAAGAAAGCTTACTTAAATATCTGCCACAACATAAGTAACCGGATCAGAGTAACATTAAGTACAGTCCGCGGCACTGTGAGTGCAGACGTAGATGTGTCCCATTATCATTCATATCATATCACATCATAATGTATCATATATTTCCTTATTTGAGTCAGCTTCTTGAGCCGTATCTGGCCGTGCAACACTCACAGTGTCACATACTGTATGCAGAAGTATTATTTTAAGCAACACATTAAGTTGACGAAACACTCGAGTCAAATTCTCCTAATTAAAGTCAGATCCACTCGTGTCTTGGACGGGGCAGTGATTTCATAAACCTGTTAATGTACGCATTCAAACACTTTTTCTTTTACCAGCTGTATTCACCTTGCAGGTGCAGCTATGTGGCTTTTATCCTGGGTAAAGTGTTTAAGTCATGGATGTTTAAAGTTTAACTTCTTCATATTTGACTAATATTAAAGTTCACTTTTCATTCAGGAAGTATGACGCTGCGCTGTCAGTACGCTTCTCCGTGTTTGAGATTGGTCGAATGCTCCAAATACCACCCCTTTCATGTGAACGCGCACCTAACTAGATAGGACACGGCGGCTTGAGCGATCCACTTGATATCCAGCGTCGTAGTACAGTTTAGCGCCAGCGCGTATGTTTTGGATTAGGCCAACTGGCTAACTCCAACATATCCAGGTTAGGTTGAACCAGCTTCGTAGTACAGGCCTCAGGTCTCTGATATTGCTATGATGTTGAATGGGTTCTTAAACTGACTTAGATATTCTTTAATGTTGAGGAAGTTGGCATATAGGCTTCTGCTATTGAAGTGGATAATTGATATGTTCTCTTCTGATTGACACGTTACATTGAATTGCTCTTCTGTGAAATAGTTGCAGCTGTTGTTGATATTGTTCAGTAAGTTGTTTTCCGGATCAATGTCATTTTCCATGTCCTGTGCTTTATGCTCTGTATATGCAAAAGTTTCTAGTCTTGATGGAGATATGTGTATATTAACTGGAATTGTCATGGTAGTGTTTTTTTTTCGTGTCTGATTTGCTTCATTGGTATTTTTCCAGTTCCTCCAGGTCCCTGATGATTAACACTTTGGCTTGTTCTGGTGATCCGTTAAGCTTGATGAAGATTCTGCAGTTTGCAAACTTTGTCTAAGGAAGAGACTTCAGAGAGAGACAGACTGCAGGACCAGCACCCGCTTGGTACTCCTTTTCATTCCTCAACACTATCATCCAGTAACCTTTCTGAGGAGACGCTGTGATGTTTACCTTGCTGTTGATCGACTCTCTGGCCACTCCTAAATCCCACTGAGTCTTTCCTTTAACCTGAACCTCATAATAAAATCTTCCTGAAGAGAAACTCTGCTTTGCTAAAACACAAGGACACAAATCAAATCTCTCAGGATTGCCTGGGAGATTCTCCTTCACATCACCATCTTTAACTTGTTTTCCATCATCAGACAGGATGAGTTTGGGAAGTGCTGTATCAGGATCAAGAGTCACCTCCACTTCATACTGCTGGACCCTCTTCAGCTCCACCTCCACCTCATACTGCTGGACCCTCTTCAGCTCCACCTCCACCTCATACTGCTGGACCCTCTTCAGCTCCACCTCCACCTCATACTGCTGGACCCTCTTCAGCTCCACCTCGAGCAGCTTCTTCATCTGTTTACTGAGCGTCTCCTCCAGCTGAGTCACAGCTCTCACCACAGTCCCCTCATATGAAGGTGGATGGACCCTGACTTCTGTCCAGTTCTTGGTGGGTGGAGCAGCGTTCAGGGACGTGAAGCTTTGGAGGAGGTGGAGCTGGTTTTCAGAGCGTGAGAGCTGCTCCACCTCAGAGCTTCTCTTCTTCAGCTCAGAGATTTCCTGTTCCAGCTCTTTGATGAAGCCTTCAGCCTGTTCCTCTGTCTCTCTCGGCTTCTCTTTGATCGTGTCGTTGTGCTCGGCCTGGCTTCTCTCAACAGACTCCTTCAGAGCGGTGAAGACCTGAACACCATCTGCTATCTCTCTGTCTGCTCCTTCCTTACTGAGCTCCACTGAGCGATTCATCTCCTGAATCTTCAGTCGTCTCTTCTGGATCATCTTCTGAATTTCAGCCTCTGTCTTCCCCAGCTCTGCCTTCTTTCCTTCATATCCTTCTTTCAGAGGAACAACATCATGTGTCTTGTGGTCTAAAACACTGCAGAGCATGCAGACACACACCTGGTCGGTCTTACAGAACAGCTCTAGCAGTTTATCGTGCTTCACACACATCCTGCCTTCCAGGTTCTCCTCAGGATCAATCAGATGATGTCTTTTCAGACCTGGCCTTGTCAGGTGAGGCTCCAGGTGAGTCTCACAGTAGGACTCCAGACACACCAGGCAGGACTTCAGGGCCTTCAGTCTTGTTCCAGTGCAGGCGTCACAGGGAACTTCTCCTGGTGACTGTCTGAACTGAGCAGCCATCTCAGAGATGAAAGTGTTGACCCGCAGCTCAGGCTTTATGTTGAAAACTTCTTTGCCGTTTGACTGCAAATAAGTCAATAAAGGAGCATGGCTGCTCATTCCCTGGCTCTCAAAAGAGTTTGGCTGGCTGTTTAATCTATGTTCACACTGAGACAATACAACATATAGAGAGAACAGTACACCTAGTGTGTAAGTATACATACAAGCAGGTCGCACAGTATGCTCACAAATACATACAATCTGTTAAAAATCTGTTTTAATTAAAAAGTACAGGCTGCATGTGTTCTCAGACTTGGAGAAACTTGACATGTTTTTCTATGCGTCTGAACCTCTCTTTAGTGGTTCATTAATAAAACAGATATTTCAACGTGTGCCTACTTTGTTCATGTACTGTTGAGGTTAATTTCAGTAGTTGTGTTCTATAATGTATTTACAAAGTGTGAAGAGGAGGCAACTTTAGAATAGGGAACCTGTTCAGGTCAATTAGAGTCAAACTACTAGCTTATTGATTATGAACAAGACTTCACTTTAAAGGTGGGGTAGGTAATTTTGGAGAAACCAGCTCGAGTGCGCTAGAAGCCGGAAGAAATCTGCCACTTCCTTACAGAGCCCCTCCTCCAACACACACGAATGCACAGATGATCAATGAGGGCACGAGATAAGTTTGTGCACAGATGGAAGGCTGACAGGCAGGTAGGCCATCCAGTTATTTTAGCCGGGCCAGCTAAAATGATTGGTCGTGCTTTTTACAGTACTACGGCTTCCACAGATGACATTTTTGTATGGATTTTTTGTCAAAGCACTTAAGATATTCATTGCTATCGGGATGTTAAGAGCATTCCAGGGAATATAACAAAAAGTATATCTCGAGCCGGTTTCTCAAACTTACCTACCCCACCTTTAAAATAGGGAACATGTTCTTAGATATAAATACCTAATTTTGAGTTATTTAGACACAATTAACACTTATAGTTTCATGTCTTGTTACATAAGAATAGATCATATTTGTTAATATATGGGAGAATTACTATTCTTGTGGTACTACTGCCTTATTAGGTCCATATTGAGCAGAGCATATTAAGACCAAAACTCACGAACAACAACTTCCTTACTTGCAATAAATAAGCACTAATTAGAGGATTATTGAGGAAAAACTCTCAACTAATGGCTTATTTCTTGTAAAATATGGTCATGTAGAATAAGGCATTAATAAGTGTTTTATAATTACTAATAAAGAGCCAATATACTGCTAATATGCATGTTAATTAACAACTAGTTGATGGTGAATTTGTGTACCTTAATATAAAGTGTTACCTAGTTTTATTTCAATCAAATGATCACTAAAACTTTCAATGAGGTGGCCCACAACACATACACATTGTAGTTGTCCTTGAATTTTTGGCTGCAATCTGCAGGTATTCAGCGTCTGGTTCACACAGCTTATCATGCAGTCCAGTTCTGGACTTTGCTGCCAGTCAAATAAACGTAGATGTGCAATTTAGCTGTGATATCTTTATGAGATCACCAACTCAGAAAAAATGTGATGACATTGGTGATTTCCACTCCAACTAACATTTGTTTTACAGGGAAGAAAGAGTTGGATCCTAATTCTTAAACTCACACAAGTTCATGGACAGTTTGCAGGAATCTCTCTTTTCATGCCCCATGGCGACATCAGTTAGAAACTTCTTCTGTCTACGGCCCTGAAAAGTAATTTCTCTCAGAGTAGAGCTCAGGTTTTGAGTTCATACCGGTTATTAACATACAGTGACAATGATCAGTTGCACCATCTTACATAGAAAGACATCAGTCCCTACAGAAACAGTGAAGTCAAGAAAAAACATTTGGGAATTCAAGGCCACTCAATAAATTGTGTAACCGCTGTTAAACTATAATTGTATGGTTTTACAGGAAATACAAGATCAAATCTGACACTGTAGTGCAGAAAGTCCAAAGGGAAAGTCAGATAACTCTTATTCCTTATATATGTATGTGGTAAAACAAAGTCACTTATCAAAATGTTAGACCATCATAAGTTATTCTTTAACTACAGACAATAAAGGTCAGGGGAAAGTTTGTACATGTTAACCTAATATTAGCTGACGACGTTCTGTCTCATTTTAACTAACCAGAGTTTAGTAACTGTATTGTATTCCCAGCTAAATGTTCTTGTTATCCAAAATGAATTCATTTCATGGCATAACATTTTTCTGAATAGTAAAACAGGTGTCAAAGATTCAGTTTTTAACTAAATGTTGACTGATATTTAGATGGTGTTCTTGTGAAGACAGTGGGACCGCCCTTCTCATCTTGTGGGTTCGATATCGCGAGAGCACAGATGATTTCGACATTGGTATTCTCTGCCTATTTCCTTAAGCATTCTCTCCTCCTTATCTCTGTCATGACTTTCTATTTAATACCTTATAAACAGCTGTAATCGTTAGTTTAGAAGTCCTAAAAACGCTTCTATGGCACAGTTCTCATTTACGGTAGCTCCCTCTGACGTCATAGCTACTCACGTAATGTGTAAACACTCCATGATCAACTGTTCCTTCATTTAATATTCAGCAGTAATAATATCTCAACGTCTATCGATGTAGTGTTAAAGCCCGTACGATTTGGTGTGTAACACTCCAAGTCATTTTCACTTTACATTCAGAAAACGTAACATTAGTCACATGCTAACTGGATAAAGGATTTTCAGAATAAAAGCTTGGCATTGATTTCCTGAGAACTTCCGGGTTTTTTCCACAATAAAACAGCTTTAAACTGACGATATTTTTTAGACTGAATTATGCTGTTTAACATTGATTTTAATTTCTAACAATACTGCCCCAGTTCCTAAACTGTAATGGAAATGCGCCATAAAGTGAGCCAGTCCTAACGAGGCCCAGCCATACCGAGCGGGGCCGAGCGGCATCCCCGCTTTGTCTTCTTCTTGCGTCTCTCAGGTAGAACAGCAACAGGTAGCCATGGTGAATCTCCATTGTTTGTCGGAGGGTTAATATTGTCCACGAAGTTTCGCAATTGGAAAAGTTCCTCTCTGCTATATTGTATGGCAGAGTAGGTGCGGTCGGCTAGCATGTTGCGAACCATGTTAAAAGTAAAACGGCAAAAGTAAAAGAAATATGTACAAAATACGAAAATGGGCAAAGTTGGAGAGGAGCACAAAGACGATGCGGCCATCTTCACCGGCGCATCAAGCATCAGTAAAGTTCAGTAAAGTTAGCAGACCTGGAAAACCGTCCACAGCGCAGTCATGCCTGGAAGGTAAAATAAACTACATGCAATGCATTGTTTTAATCTGCACAATACTGGTCTCAGATGTACTTTTATTTGCTCGGTAGATCGAGTTAGCAATGCTAGGTTGAATTGGGTAACACTGTTAGTAGGCTGGAACCGACCTAGCTAATAACATCTAGCTAGCTCGCTAGCTATTCTCGGCCGCTATAAAAACGTTTTGACTTGTGAATAAGTGTGCAATGTTCTGTAATTTGCTTCACTAACTCATGGCACTAATCGTGTGTTTCAGGCGAGGTGTTTCTAGTTAGCTTTCCCCTCCGGGATAAAACAATAATATAATGTTAGCAATTAGCATGCTAGCTGGACATAATGCTACCTCTAACAATACATTGTAGTTGCTATAATTTCAAGTCATTTGCAACATTCATTCTACAACATGTTAATGGTAAAAGCTTAAACAGTTGATTACCTGCATGCCACAAAGACTGATGTTCTAATATTTTGCACATTTAAATAAAAATGTAATTGAAATTCAATTATTTTTCCTTTTTTTTATTGATTGTTATAATTGTACTCAGCGATGTTATGTTAGATGTCAATCCACTTACACTGTAACTACTCTGGCCTTGAAAGAAGGTTACGCATCTAACTGATGTCCACTAATCCCTATAAACAAAGTTCAATAAGCACAAAACAATAAATAAGGGCACTTTGATATTTATTTTTTATTTGATATGATTTGATCCTATCTTATCTTCTACTTTACACCTGCATTTTGTACACTGTCCCTGCCTGCACCATGTCCAATGTTGTCTCTGTTGACACCCTACTAGGCGATTAAACTGATCTTGTATCTTGCTTATTTCTCCTTAGGAAAGCGGGCACGGGATGACAGCTTCCTTGACACCATCATGGCGATGGACCACCGTGCCATGGTCAGCAAGGAGAATGAGGACCTGCGTGCCAAGGAGATGCACGACGAACGGCTGCTGCATTCACACAAGGCCCAGGAATCGGACAACCAGCTGCTCATGGTGATGCAGCGCCATGCTGACTCGGTGGCGCGCCAGATGGAGGTGTCGGCGCGCCAGGTGGAGCAACAAAATACCTTTCAGGCTGGGCTTCTGGCAGTGCAAAGCGAGCTGATTAAATCCAACAGGCCTTCAATAAAAAAAATAAGAAAAACTTGTTGTTGTTGATAAACTGTACAATGACTTGTTGGGAGGCGGGTGGTGCAGTGGTCTCGTGCGTTGGTGTTCGGATCAGGGGAGCACAGGTTCAAACCCCACTGCAGTCAGCATGTCGTTGTGTCCCTGGGCAAGACACTTCACCCCAAATTGCCTACACCTGGGACAGTTAATTTTGTATTATTGTGATTATATATATGCCACTGTTATTAATACTGACACTTCACTTTGCACTAAGGTGTGTCTGCTGCTGAGCCTACCTATTGTTATTATATATATATATATATGTTTTGATACTACTGACACTTTATTTGATATTGAAAATGTTGACTTCTATTTACATGCATACGACAAACCTGGGACAGATGCTGTTATTGA